ATCTTACATGAACATATACATTCATATGTACGCAATTCCGCGAGATCGCGATCGCGCGATCCCTCGTGTTATCGTACGACTTGCCAGAGTGCAGTGACTCCAGAAAAAAATAAAGAAAAAGGAACGAAGACTCGTGGCGCACGTTTCCGTGGTCGCAGTCGGCGAACGAACACCGCGTGACGTGGTGCACTCAGACAGGTGTCAAAGGTCGGCGGTTCACGGGCAATCGCAGGAGTGAGAGAGAATGTTATCTCATTCTCTCTGAAGATAAAAAGAGAGAGAGAGAGAGAGACAGAGAGAGAAAGAGAATAACATACCGGCTATGACCCCTTTGAGGCCCAGGTTGCCGGAGGCGGCGGCGGCAGCGACGCCGGTCTCGCTCATCCATGGTCTTCGTGGAAACGGCAGTGCCGGGCCACGGCACGCGTTCGCCAGCGATCGCTGCTGTTGCTGCCTGATCTGATCCATACTCGGGAGGCACCAAGACTGTAAGCGTGCTCCACGCACTATCGTTAGCTCATCCACCTATGCCGCTGGACACTGCCGAGGCTGAACTGCCACCGATTGTCATATGTGTGCCTCGATGAGCGCGTAACGCATCGGTTTCCCCCATATTTTCCCCCTTCCGCGACGTCGGCGAACGATGTCGCCTCGTTTAACGTTGTTGCTTCACTTTGCCTCTTGTTTTGCCCTGCCTTGTTCATTACGTATGGATATATCGTAATATGCACACACATATACAGCACCAGTAACTGGAGATCAGTCGAATTAATTGCGCTTGCTTGCATATTCTCCTTTTCCTCTCTCACCTTTCATCCCTCTCTCTTTCTTTCTCTATGTTTAAAATAAGATAAAATAAATATTTGCGCTTTGAAGAGGAAAAATGGAAAAATATAGATAGTGTAGAAAACAAACCTTAGATTATTCATACGTCATATATCAATATTTTCCAAGACTATTTACTCTGAAGCTGTTTAAATAAAAATTAAAGTTACTTTGGTAAGAATAGACACAAGAAATATTCCAGGCAAATGTTGTAAGCTTATTTCTGAGAAAACACGATTGTATCGATTTCTTTAAATGAAAATCAGGTGTGTGTGCGTGTGCGTGCGTGCGTGTGTGTGTGTGTGTGTGCGTGCGTGCGTGCGTGCGTGCGTGCGTGCGTGCGTGCGTGCGTGCGTGCGTGCGTAGCGT